CTTCATTTCTTGTTATTTTATCATTACAAATAGTACATCATTTCATTTATTATTTGATTTTATTATTAATTTGTTTATTTTCATACTCACATATTATTTTCTTGAATTAATTTCATTGTTTATATTCATTTCTTTTTATATTATTATTATTCTTCACTATTTACTTGTTCCAAAAAGAAAGATACATTACACGAAACACCACAACAAATATAAAAAAACAAATAACCAAAGAAAGAGAAATTCATTCAACCAAGAAATATAAATGATAGAAGAATGAGTGAAAATAGGTATCATCCATATTGATAGGGATATACTAATTGTTACAGTAATAACGACTATTATCATAACTATCACTAGAACAATTGCAGTATTAATTATATGATTCATTTTACTCATTACTTCAATCATACTCATCATCATAATTACTTTTTCATTAATTTCAATAGAAATAAACAATGTCATCATAATAGAAATAAATATCATAATAACACACAAAGAAGGTATAAACAATATCAAAACATGAATATAAAATACAGGAATATGAGAAATGATAGAAGTAATAAAAGAAAATCCAAATGGAATAATTAAAAGAATGAAGAAAACATTTGGTAAGAAGATTAATTTTAATGAATTAATGAATATAATAGAATTAAATGAAAGAAAGCACAATGTAAAGGAAGTATTTGAATGGGTAAATAATGAATTAAATGATAGATATTTAAATGAATGGAAAGAAATGTGGAGAATATATAAGATGTGCAAATGGCACTTTTAATGATAAGAAATTAACAGTAGCCACTTGGAGGTCATTAAATATAAAAAGAAATGCATTCCTCCAAATAGTAAAAATGCAAGAATTTGTAAGTATGACAGGAAGTGTTAAATCTAAAATACTCCAAAATGATGATTTAAAATATTGTAAACATTGTCATAACACAATAGCATCTATTAGTCATATATTGTTAGGATGTAATGAAAAAGAATCAAATATCAAAACATGATTATGTTTGTAAACAAATATTTAAACACTTATTAATTACACATTTTAATGAATTTGATGCAATTGACTTTAATAATCCTCATAAATGTATAAATAATGATGAAATGATTATAACTTATAATATTGATTTATTGGTTAATGACAACTCATTCAATGATAGAAGACCAGATATATATTATCAAAATATTACAGAAAAGAAATGATATATTATAGATGTTGTTACATGTCAAGATAATAATTTAGAGTTAAATTATATTCACAAAATAAATAAATACAAAGAATTACAAGAGAAAATAAGAAATAATAGAGAAATAATATATGTAGAAATAATACCTGTTATAGTATCAATAAATGGATTAATACATTAAGAATCAGCAAGAAGATTACAATCACTGAAATTACAATTAGACTTTTCCAAAATCCTACGAACAATAATTATCAAAAATATGAAAGACTTAATGTTTTATACATTCAATTCTGGCAGCACAATAGAAGAAGAACAATCTAATGCGAGTATGTTAGAAATAAACTCTAATACACCAATAGAGTATATTGAAGAAAGTGAAATAAACACTTCTCAATATTCATAAAATCCAATTGAGGATATATCTAATAATTGACCTCTTTTTTATTTATGATTTGAATTATCATGTTTTATCAACATTAATTCAATCAATTAATTTAATAAAGATAATAAATGATAAATAAAAATAAGATAATAAAATAAAAATAAGAAATAAAAGAGAATAGAAAAGATATAATTACTATAAATATACAAGGAATAAAAGAAATGAAATGAAAATCAAATAAAATGATAAAAGTACGTTAAATAACATAATAAAAGAAATATTCATCATTTTAAATGATAAAATATTTAATATGATAAAATATTAATATTGTAAATATTTGTTTTTTGTTTTTATTAAGAAATGAAGAATTCCCTCTAGAATAAATGGGTGAATGATTAATAAACATAAATGATGAATTTGTTATTGAATTAGTAAGAACAGTGATGTACTACTGTACCAGAGAATGTGAAATAAGAAATAACATATTAGAGAGATGGTACAGTAAGAAAGGAATGTGGAATAGAATTAAAAACATTAATTCATAAAATCCCAGAAACAAAAATAGAAGAAATAATAAATGAAGGGATTGAAATGAAAAAAGAAAAAGAAGTAGTAGTAGAAATAAAAAAATTATTGGCAAATACATCAAAAAATGGAAGTGTCATCAAACAAATGACATGTTAGAAGATGGTTCAAGTCAAAAGGAGTAGATAAAACTACTACAGTGAAAGCATGAAATTTAATCAATATTAAGAAAAATGCATTTCTACAATTAACTAAAATGCAAGATGGAGCAATATTTTGTGGGTATAAGAAAGCAAAAATAATGAAAAATGAAAGATTGAAATACTGCCCACTATGTAAAGACAAGATAGCTACAGTAGAACACATTCTACTATCTTGTATTTGTCATAAAAAAATCACAAATGGAAAAACATGACAATATTGGCATTATAATATTGATTAATAAGAAAATATACATGAAATAAATAATATAAAAAACCCCCATATGAAACAATGTTCAAATATAAAGACATTACAATGATATGGAACAAACAAATAATGCATAAAAGTGAATGACAATATCACAAAATATCAGATATATACGTATTAGATAAAAAGAACAAAACTTGTCTAATATTTGATATGACTAATGTTGAATATCACAATATTAATTGAGTGTAAATGAAGAAAAGAAATAAGTATAAGGAATTAAAGAATATTCTAATGAAAATAGAGAAATTAAAAGATGTCAAAATAATTCCAGTAGTAATTTCAATTAATAGATTAATAAATAATTCAAGTAATAGATTAATTAAAGAATTAAAAATTGAGATTGACATCGTGAAAGAAGTGAAAAACCATTGTAGTTAAAAACATGATAAATGACATGGAATACTGCTTCTATCACAACGAAACATACACCTTAGAGCTGCTTGAAGATGAAGACTCATTGTGATTAGTCTCCACTAAGCCAGGAACAATAGAAGCTATTTCTATTAATACTTAATTAATTGCTTTTTATTAGAAATGAAGAATTGAGAGATCCTTTTCCAATTTTGAACATACAACGAATTTTAATACCATGGTTACTGTGTAAATCATTTGTGTATTGTAAAGAAAAGCAAACAAGATATAAAAATTCAATGTCATACAATAAAAAAAGAAAGAAATGACAATAACAATAAATAACATAATAGTAATGATAAATGAAACACCAAGGAAAAATGAATTAGAAAGAGAAAGACACAAAGAAAAACAAATAAGAAACAAGATAAATACAATAATAATAAAGATTATACAAATAACAAATATAAATGAATAACAATAAATGATATACAAGAAAGAATAAAAAGAATAAAAAGTAAATGGAATAAAGGAGAATATGAAGAAATACTTAAAAAATATGAAGGTAAAAGAAAAAGATGGTACGATATTCTTCAAGAAGGATATTCAATAAAAAAGAAGAAGATAATTGAAAAAACGAAAGAAGAGTTTAAAGAAAATACAAAAGAGATTAAAGAAAAAAAATATCCAAGCAACAGAAGCAGAAATCAAAAGTAGAAACCCAAATAAAGAAATGAATGAAGATGTAAAATATCAAGAATAATAAATAACAAAGAAAGTACAAGAAATACAACAAAACAAAGAAATAGAATATTAATTGAAGTGTTGTATTGTTTTGAAATTAATTGGTTAAATAAGAAATTATATAAGAAATTAAGATGGGAACAAATAGAAAGTATAATAAAAGTGATAAATATCAATGTCAATAATGAAAAAGAATATATTAAATATATTAAAATATCACATAAAATAAAAGAAAGCACTAAACGGTACATTAAAGTGAAAATAAATGATATAATAGAAGGAAGAGTAGAGTGTGATTCAATAATAAAAAACATCATATTAAAGAATAACTCTACAGAAATTGATGAAGAATATCTTAACACTCTCATCAATAAAAGAAATGAAATGAAAGTAGAAAAATGTTCAAACATTAATTACTACTTTCAAAGAAAAGAAGCTGACCGACTAATAATGGAAATTAATAATAGATGGATATAATCAGGAATTAGAATGCAGGATCTGCAAGATGATATGAAGAAGATTTCAATGTGTATGCACCTCTATCTCCAAAATAAAATAATAAGAGATAAATTTGATGAAATAAAAGAAATCCTAAAGAAAATGAATAGACTAGAAGATTTAGTCAATGAAATGGTACAGAATAAAATGCATCATGAAATTAAAAGAATATGAAGAAGAAGGAATAAAAGTTAAAGCACTAGAAAGAATAAAGTACCTAAAATATATGATGACTATGATAAAGGAAAGAATTAAATTCAATAAAAATGAAATAGTCAGAATCAATACAAATAAAATCATGTTTGATTCTAACAAGAAAATTAAAATAAGAAAGACCCAAACAATGAAATATACCAAATAACGATATTACTTTAGAATAATGGAAATGTTATATGAAACACAGGTGATATTAAATAAAGAGAAATGGAAAATAAAACAAAACACGATATTGAATGAAAGATATAGAAATTATGATAATGTCATTATAACATTAAATGAATTAAATTTAAGTATAATGAAAATAAATAACTGGAAATATTCATTAACACAACATAAAAGAAATAAAATAAAAGACAAAATTATAAGTTATTGATAAAAAAGAATAAAACTATTATAATAAATGATATGAATAATGTTGAATATTATAATGATGAATTGATTGTGTTTAAATAAAATAAATAAAGAAAATATGCTTTTATATATTTCTGATTAATTAGTATTAATTTTAACTAATTTTTATTTCATTCATAACATAAAACAATTATGTAAAATAAAAAATTGAATATTAATGAATTGTTTTGTTAATAACTTAAACTTAAAGATACTTCTTATTAAAGAGTCAATTAAAGCTTATCATAGAATTTATCTAAACCTGGAACACCTTCTGGAAGTCCTTTTCTCTTTCTAATAGCTGCAACAATTGATCCTACCTTTGATGTTGCATCAGTAACATCACCATTGAGTAATTGCCAGTGATCAAAGACACATTGTGGGAAGGCTTGTCCTGATGTATGTGATCTCAAATCGGCAGTAAATCCAAATGATTCACAGACTGGAAGATAAGCTCTAACATTGAATAATGGAGTACCTGGTCTTTGTTCTTCTGAAATAATCTTTCCTCTTCTTCTTGACATGACAGTGTAAATTCCTCCAATGGCTGATTCTGGGCATTGAATTTCGGCAAGATACATTGGTTCAAGAAGTGATGGGGCTCCTGTTAAGACACATGCGAAACAGCATCTTCTAGCACATGGAATCATTTGAGCTCCTCCTCTGTGGATAGCATCAGCATGTAATTTAACATCTTCTAAGTTAATTCTAACTCCTCTAATTTGTTCGTTACAAACTACTCCATCATGCATAGCATTGTTAAGACACATGTGCTGGAAAGCTTTCCAGCACATGGAATCATTTGAGCTCCTCCTCTGTGGATAGCATCAGCATGTAATTTAACATCTTCTAAGTTAATTCTAACTCCTCTAATTTGTTCGTTACAAACTACTCCATCATGCATAGCATTGTTAAATCCATTAACAATGGAATCTTTAACTTCATTCAAATATTGAATACCTTTTGTAACATCAACAAACAAATTTGGTCCACAGTTATCTGGTCCGAAACACCAAATCTTTCTTGCTTCATCAACATCCCATCCATATTTCTCTGAAAGGAATTTAGCTCTTTCTTTAAAGTCTGTATCTGGTTTAATTTCTCCGGCTTCAATATCTTCAGCAAGTCCTTCAGCAAATGGGAAGGCTCTCATGAACAATCTGTTTTGATTGTTAGCTGATTTAGAAAGGCATTGAATTCTTGATGGTTCTGTAATAGTTTCTCTGAATGAGACAACTGGTTCAGTAACAATCAATGGAACTCCTGAACAATAATCTTCTTGAAGATCCTTAAGACAAACTTCAAGATGAAGTTCTCCAGCTCCAGCAACAATGTGTTCTCCTGATTCTTCGGTATAACATAAACAAAGTGGATCGGATCTTGATAATCTCTTCATACCTTCAACAAGTTTTGGAAGATCTGATGGATTCTTGGTTTCAACAGCGACTCTGACGACTGGTGAGACTGAGAATTTCATATCCTTAATAATATGTGCTGTATCAGAATCAGTAATAGTTCCTGATTTCAACAAATATTGATCTACTCCAACAAGTCCAATGACATTACCACATGGACATTCATCAATTGGATCAGTATATCTACCCATCATTAACATAGTTCTTTGAATGTTCTTAATAACACAATCATCTTTTTTACCTGGAACATAATTTGGTCCACAAATTCTAGCTTTTCCTCCTGTTCTAATTGTTCCTGAGAAAACTCTTCCAAAGGCATAGAATCTTCCTTTATCATTGGTTGGAATCATTTTAGAAACATACATCATTAATGGTCCTTTTTCATCACAATTAGCCATAGCTTTAGCTGCTTCATCATCCATAGGTCCTGTGTAAAGATTTGATGTTCTGTATTTTTGTGCAACAACTGGTGATGGAAGATGGAGAACAATCATTTCAAGTAATGTAACACCAGCTGGTAACCATAATTTCATAACTGTCTTAAGAAGTTCTTTTCCTTCTTTTTCTTTATCATCAGCTGATAATTTGATTTGTAAGTTAGTTAACATCTTTTCATAATCAGCTTTTCTTCCTTCCATAATAGCATTGAATAATTTAGTAATTGGGTCAAAACAGAATTGGACAAATCCTCTTTGAAGAACTTCTCCATGATCTCCTTTTCCATTCTTCTTCCATTTCTTAGCTTTAGCATCCCAATAATTGTCACCCCAAAGTTTTTCTAACATTCTCTTTCTATCAATTCCAAATTTGGCTGACCACATCTTAGCAAACTTTTCAAGTGTAAATGCCCATCCATGAAGTCCTGATCCAAATGCAACTGTTCCTTCTCCTGGTGAAACTTGAACATCTCCAAGAAGTTCATCTTTGTAGGTTGAAATAAGGACATTAACGTTTTCAATTGATCTACAGAATGATTGATATGCTTCTTCTGGTTCTTCTTTTAATTCAAGAATAACTCTATCAACTTTGTTAATAATAACAATTGGTTTAACTCTTTCTGTTAAGGCTTGTCTAAGGACAGTTTCGGTTTGGACACAAACTCCTTCAACACAATCAACAACAACTAAAGCTCCATCAGTAACACGAAGTGCTGCTGTGACTTCTGATGAGAAATCGACGTGGCCTGGTGAATCAATAAGATTAATAAGGAATCCATTTCCATTAGCATCAGCTGGGATATCTTCTTTATCTTCAATTTCATAATACATAGAAATTGAGGTTGATTTAATAGTAATACATCTTTCTTGTTCATCGGGTCTAGTATCAGTATATCTAGCTACTCCAGCTTTTTCATTAGAAATAATACCTGCAAGTGTAACAAGTGAATCTGTTAATGTTGACTTACCGTGATCGACGTGAGCAATGACACACATATTTCTAATGTTGGATTTATTCAACATGAAATCTTTCATAGTTTTGACTCCTGTACTAGACATGACTCTTTTACTAATGTTATTTTTTGTTCTTTTTTCCTTTTTATATCCAGTTATACATGCTTTTCCATTTTTATTTTCAGGGTTGTTGTTTAATATGTTGTTACTATTACACTATTATTATTTTACCATATGTATTTCTCTTAAAGGGTTTTTTTTTGAATAAAATGTGAAAATATTAATGATTTTCACTTCTTTTTTTTTCTTTCTAGAAGATTCATGGTGAGTATTTTATCTGTTAATATTTCCCTTCAATTCACTCCAATAATATACTATTCTGATTTAAAAAAATTTATAGGGTTTAATCCTTTAACTCAAATTTTCTTTTATTCTTCTTCATTTATTTTCTCTTTTCTCTTCATCACTGACTCATTTCTTTTCTTTTTACATTTTTATTTTTTGTTCCTCTGTTACAATTATTCTTTTTCATTAACCAAAAATTATTTTTATAGTCTTTTCATAAAGCTCTTCGATTGCTTTTTTTATTTGATACCAAACTGAACTTCTTCAATATTATATTTATATAAACAGTTAAATGAGTATATTACTTATTTTTGAAAAATACTCTGAGTAAATTATATGAATAATCTATTTCTTTTTATTTAATTAAAAAAGAAAAGAATTAAAGGAATAATTAATTTATGTTATATACCTCATTTTTATAAAAAATAATAATTAGAAATAACAATTAATAATTTTTTTATTATAATAAAAAAAGACACGTCATTGATGTCAAATGTTTCAAAAAGATTCCGAAAAGAATAAAAAGGGAGTGAAAAGAAACTTTAAAGTGAAAATGCAAATCTTTGTTAAGACACTTACTGGAAAGACTATTACATTAGAAGTTGAACCAAATGATTCTATTGATGCTATTAAAGCTAAGATTCAAGAAAAAGAAGGAATTCCACCTGATCAACAAAGACTTATTTTTGCAGGCAAACAATTAGAAGAAGGAAAGACACTTTCAGATTATAACATTCAAAAAGAATCAACACTTCATTTAGTCTTAAGATTAAGAGGAGGATATTAAAAGGTGTGTTTAGTCTCAATAAAGATTCTTTACATCCTTTTGTAATTGATTTTTAACCTTTAATTCCTTTATTAATTTTTTTGAAGAATTGAAATATTATAAAATATGAAGGTACAAGGTAGAATGTTTTGTATTATGAGAGAAATAATTTTTGTATGATTAAACAATTAGTAATGTTTGTAAAATATAATTAACTGTGTAGGCATTAATTCTTCAAAAAGTATGTTATTAACGTTGTCATAAAAGTCTCACTCACAATGAATTATCCACCAACATCAATCCTTACATAAGAAAAGTAAGTGTTTATGATTAATGTTTAAATTATAAGAAATAATGGAGTGACTGTGTTTAGTTTATCAAATAAAAACGTTGTGTTAAAATGTTATGACTAAATACTATTAAAAACATTTACTTATTATATTTATAAACTACACCTTTATTTCCTTTTCAATTAATCAAGATTGAATCATTTCATTTCAATTACTATGATTCGTTTTGGTGTGAAAAGATTTGGATATTCTTTTCCACAAGGTGCTTTTCTTATTCCTTCATATTCAAATGATTGTTGTTTACAATATGATTCTGTTTTATTATTTTCTTTATAAACACGAATATCACTCCATCCAAATTCAAACAGATAATCATGTGATTGGTTATATAACCAAAACGCACGTTGTGGGTCTATAATATCAAATTTCTTCATTCCTTCAATTCTTCCTTTTGATTCTAATGAAAATAAAAATGATTTTGAATCATTTATAAAATAATAAGTTTTATCAATTTGCTCACTAACATATCCTCCAAATCTATTTCCTCTTGAATCTTCAATAATAATTATTATATGTTCTTTATTCTTTATTCTTTGATCAAATACTGATGTATTTTTATTCCAATCATCTTTATCTGAATCAAATAATATATTGTTTATTCTTTTTTCTGTCCATTCTTCTATTTGTTTGATTATTTCTTTTGTTTTTTCATTTGATTTGTTATTTGATGTTGATTGTGTTATTCCCATTTTTGTTGTTTTTTTAGTTTTTCTTTTTATTATTTTATTACATTTCTTATTTATTATTCAGTTCTTATTTTTCTTTTTATTTTATTCATTTCATTCTTTCTATCATCTTCTCATTTTCATTTTATTCATTCATTTCTATTCATCTATTTGTTGTTTATCATTTCTTAATTTCTTTCTTAATGTCACTTCTATCTTTTTATTTCTTTGTTTATTTTCATATTCAATGATTAGATAAATGAATTAATTCGTGTTTGAAATGATACAAATGATTGAATATTGTAAAATAATAATTTATTCACAATTCTATTTCATTCATTTAAACTTATTAATTATTCATTTTAATGATTTGATTCATTATTATCAAAAAATAAGATGAAAAACAAATCAAATTAAAATAAAGAATAAAAGAGTAAAAATAATTAACATAAAATACAATGAAATAATATTAATTAATTTCATAATTTTCATACCCGTTTATTATTATTTCTGTGTATTATATTTCAAAATTTAATTGAAAAGTATCATTCTATTCTTTATTTAACTTTGTACTTTCATTTCCTTCTTATTATCTCATTCTCTTTCTTTATTTATTAATTTCTTTTCTTATTCTTTCATTTATTTCATTCATGTTTTATTTCATTAGTACTATTCTTATATTATTACGTTCTTCTTTATTTTATTATTCTGTTGTTTTATCTTCTATTATTTATATTGTTTATTGTTTATTTTTCATGTTATTATTCATTCTATTTTATTATGTTGTTATTTTCTATCATAATACAGTTAATATGTTAAATAAATATGTTAAAATTGTTATTATAATGAAATAAAATAAAAATAATAATACAATTAATAAGATGAATAAATAATAAACCATAATCTAAATGTGTTTATAACAATTTCTGTACAACATCTTTTAAAGTACTAAATGATATGAAATGTTTCTTTATTTGGAATATGTTTTAAATATTATGTGATGTTCTTGGAATTTTATTCTTTATACAATCATTCAGTTACATAAATTAATGATAAAAATAACATATAATACAAACTAAATGAGAATGGTGATGAAATAATCCATGAAATAAAGAAAAATAAATACAAAAAGAAATAAAAAGAATAAGAAAGAATGAAATAATAAATATTAATAATAAAATAAACAAGAAATAAATAATAAGAAGTGATATGATAATGATAAAATATGAAAGTGAATATGATAAAGAAAAGAATAAAAAGAATAAATTAAATAACAATTGATTGAATAAAAACTTAAAAAATGATATAATATATCATAGAATAAATACTTCTAGAAAAAAAGAAAGGATAATAAAAGAATAAAGAAGAAATAAGAATAACTAAATGAAATGAACAATGCAAATAATGAAAGATTAATAAAAATGAAAATAATAAAATAAACAACTAAATAATAAATGAAATAATGTTATATTTATAATAACTAATAAAAATATTAAATAAATATTAAATACAATTTTATTTATTGTATAATTGTTAGAACCATTTGTTGTTTAATATTATAATAATGTCTATATTTATTATTCTATTCTTTATACATTTCTTCTTATTATTATGTTTATTTTTTATTATTTTATATTTTTATCATAAATATTTTAAATAATTTATTCAATTATATTTATTTCTATTCTTTATCTTCTACTGTTGATATTCTCTTTTCTTGTTTCTTAAATACAGATTTATCTTCTATGAGTTGTTTATTTTCTTTATTACTTTCTTCAACTTCCTTTTCAATTTATATCCCTTTTCATTGTAACATGTTTCGATTATGTGAATTCCATACACTCGGATCATGAACTCGAGGTAATAATTTATTTGGATAGTTGTTCATGATATTTCTTTGTGGTATATCATGAAGGTTTCTTAATGTTTCCTTAAGTAATAAATACAAAAAACAACTTCAAACTACTTTTAATTTCTTCATTCATTTGATCACCACATTAATCATTTGAATGACAGTTTTTATTCCGTGTTACTTTTCTATTTAGATTCTACTCTTGGAAATAGTCATCTCATCAGATGCTTTTCATTATTATCCTTTCACATTACTTTGTTTAATTTCCTAATTACATGTTTTTGTTTTCTTTTTATATTTCTTTATTCATCTCCTCTATCTGTTTGATAGAGTCTCTTAACTTTCTCTTGCTTATTTCTTCCTATTTTATATTCCCTGTTTTGTACTTCTTCATTTCTACTTTCACTTCTTTTACTTACTAGCTTCTTCTTTCTTAATTAAGTCTTTCATCTCTTACTTTATACTTAATGTATTCATATATGTATTTTGATTTCTTGTTTGAAGTTCTGTTCTTTTTTTCTTTAAATATCTTCTTTCCTTTCTTATCAAATTTTATTTATAACAAAATTGTGTTTCTTGGGATTATTTCAGTCTTTTAATATTTTAAATTTGGTAAACAAAAATATGAAATGCCTACTACCAAAAATCTTTGAAAATTAGTTTGGTATATTCTAAAATTATCATAAACCATTGAACAAAATACTTATTCTTTTGTTTCTATTTCATCTTTCTTACTCTTTTATTAATTATTCCTATATTCTATTATTAATTTGTGTTTATCAAGAAGAATAAAAAAAGACCAAAATAAAATAATCAATTCAATCATTTTCAATTTAATTCTTTGATTGAACATAATAAAAATGTATAGTATTACTTTTATTTATTTTAGTACTTCATACTAACATATTAATATTCGAATATATTTATAATTATACTTTAATTATGTTTTGATTTCTTTTAATAAATACAAACTACCATTAAAAATTATCAATAATCATTATACAAGAATTGTCATTTCTTACATTTTGTTATTTGAATTAGATCAAATAACAAATAAAAAATGAACAAAATTCAAAGAATAAATACATAATGAAAGAAGAAAATAAAAGTAGACAAGATTAATACTAAGTGATAATAAATGGAAGAATATAAAAAGAAGAATAAGAGTTAATGTGATATTAAATAGAGAATAAATAGAGATGAATAAGAAAAAAAATGAATAAGAAAAGAAAATAAAAATTCATAGAAGAACAACAATAAATAAATAAAGAAGAAATAATAATAAATTAAAAAATAAATTGTTATAAATGAATCATATAAATGATATTAATATCAATTATTCTCTTATACTTCACTTATTTTATTCATATTTTATATATTTACATATGATTAATCAAATATTTAATTCATCCAATAGTTTTATATTGTAATTATTTCGTAATTATTTATATTCATTTTTAATTTGTTGTTTCATTATTTCAATAATGATAAATCAACATATGATTAATATAAATATGATTATAAATGTTATTATTCATTTAATTAATAACCATTCTAACAATTTGTATGATAATATTTATGTTAAAATGTTGTGTTTTCATTATTATTTATTCATTCATAATATATTCATGACATTTTCTATTTCTTATGAATTTATTAATTCATTTTCTTTTATTTTCTTTTAATATCAATGTTTATTCTTTTATCGTGTCATTTTTGATGATATTGGTTATTCATTAATCTCAAATGTATATGAATTAATTTAATTTTATAATAACATTAAACATGAATGAAATATAGGAAATATTTTATAGACATATGAATAAAAGATAAAGAAGAATACGAAAAGAAAAAGAGAGAAACACAATAATTAGAAGAAGATCAACTGAATAACAAAAGCAAAAAACATAAACACACTTGATGTTCCATCAAGGTTATTATGATTATCAGAAATATCATCAGAACTAACATTAGTTTTATCATGTGAAATATCAGAAGTATTTGTATTTTTATTATCTTGTTTTTCATTTTGTTGTGGATGATTTTGTTGTGATTGTGATGATGGTTTTTGTGGTTGTTCTTCTGGTTTTGGGTGTTGTTCATTTGGTATTGTATCTTGCTTATCTTGTGACTGTGGAGTTGAAGTTGAAGAGG